TGCAGAGTTAAAGAGCACAAGAGACAAAGATAAGGCTAAAGCAGGATCGGGGACATCACCCTCATGGACTGAGCCCCGAATCGGGTCGTCACATGGCTTTTATTGAGAAAATTTCAAAGGAAGTGAAACTGAATAACTCAAAGATCCATGTGTCATGTGCCTTAAGGCTGTTTTCCATTAACCAGCTCCCATTGTGTTCCAACATGTACGATGCCTTCATACAGTCTGCACAGCCCCCACGACAGCATTACTGTACTGCGTCCTATACAATTAAGGAAGGTGACCGATATCATTCCATCAGGTCTCAGCATTCTGAGACACTGTCTCAGTACCTTGTTAGGTCAGGGGTTAGTGTGGGGGGGCAGTCATGGACGTAGCTGTAAGGCAACATCTCCACCTTTCTCTTTTTGTAGAAGGAGAAACTTGGACTTTGCAGTTTCTTCATCTATGGCCCGCTGGAGGGCTTGTTGTTGACACAGGAGAACTAGACAAAACAGAAATATAATGATTAATAGGAGTGCAAAAGCACCGGCAAACCTCCACCGAGGTTTTTTACCCATGTGAATGTGTTCAGAGTAGACAATCCTTCCGCAGCCATGGAAAGGGCATCTTCTCCCGGGAGGAGCTGGAGATTAGCAGATGACATCTGATCCACTTCTTGTTGCAACTGCAGAATATCTACAGTCAAGTTGGGCACATGTCCCAAAAGATGAGCTCGTACCTCAGACCATGGGGTATGTGTCTGGTTGTAAGAAAAAGGAGTTACACAATAAGTGGAAATATTCCAATCACATTTTAAAGTAATCATAGTCTGGAGACTCTCCAATTGATCTCAAAGAGAAACAACAGTTGTTTCTAAATCAGCCAGCCATATGCTGATTTCTTGATCAATTCTCAATTGCTGATTCCAAGTTTTACCTGCATTTTTATGCCATTGTTGTACAAATTGAGTAGTTTGCACTGTCTGGTGAAGAGCCACTCCAGAGACAGCAGCAACAGTATTTANTAATTTTATAGAGTTTTTATTGTGGTTGTGTTTATTGTATATCAAAATAATACATAACATTTGGTTTTTTGCTTAATTCCACTATGATCATAGAACATACTCTATAGAACTCAATCCTTTGAAATTGTTAAAATGTGCTTTATGATCCAGTATACAATCAATAAATGTTCTGTTTACAACAAAAGGATGCATACTCTACAGTGTTATATGTACATCAATTATGTAAGGTTTATTCATTGTTTTGTTTAAAGTCACTAATAACTTTTCTACATAATTTTTTGTATGCTTGTTATATCAGTTACATAGAGAATTGTGTTAAAAATCTCAGATAATGATGTAGGTTATTCTCTTTCTCCCTTTAGTTCTGTCATTTTGTTTTGTGTATTTCAATGCTATATTTTTAAGACCATACAAACTAAGAATTGATATAACTTACTGATGGATTAATTCTTTTATCATTAAAAAAGGTTCCTCTTTATCTCTAGTATGCTTCCTGTCTTAAAATCTACTTTGTCTAATATTTTTATAACTTCACCAATTTTCTATTTGGTACTATTTACATGGCATAATTCTTTCCAGCTTTTAACTTTCAACCTTTCTGTAACTTTCTATTTAAGGTGTCTCTTGGAAGCAACATATAGCTGAGATTATTTTTAACCCTGTCTACAACTTTTGTATTTTAATTGGAGGTATATTAATTCCATTTACATTTAATTTAATTACTTTAAAAAACAAACAACTCCTGTTTGTTTAAATATATCATCTTGCTATTTGTCTATTGTCATTTTATGTTTCTTTTTCTTTCAATTCTTGCTTTTTTTAGATTAAATGTTTTATTATTCTGTTTCTTTACTCTATTAACTTTTTATTAATTATTTTTCAATTATTTTAGTTGTTACTCTAGAGGTTTTAATACTCATTCATGTTTTTCTTTTTTAAATTGGGCCATCCTGCCCCCTGTTGGCAGTTCAGCGGCACCTCAGCTCCGCCCGGGACTCGAACCGCTGTTGCTCAGAGCTCGCACTCTTGAGCGAGCTCTTAACCAACTGAACCACTCAGTCGGCCCTTAATATTCATTCTTGATTTATTAAAGCCAAATATTATATCAATTCCCATACAATGCTAGAACTGTAGCACACTTTAATTCGATTACTCGTTACCTCTTTTTGTGCTATTATTGTGTATATTTTAATTCTCTACATATTTAAACCCCACAACACATTATTTTTATTATTTTATATGGTTCATATTTATTTATATCTAGCCACATATTAATCCTTTTACTTTTCTTCATTCTTTCATACATATTCATTATTTTATTTGGGGTTATTTTTCATCTGCCTAAAGAGCTCCTTTTGGAATTTCCTTTAAATGATCTTAGTATTTGTTTAAAAATATTAAAAGTAGATATAAAAATACTTTACTTTCAATTTTGAATGTTAAATTTTGAAAAATATTTTTGCTGATTATAGTATAATCTAGGTTGGCAGCTAATTTCTTTCAGCACTTTGAAGATATTTCAAGGTCTTTAGGCTTCCATTGTTTTTTTTGAGACTAAGCTCTTGATCTTATTGTTCTTTTGCTGGTACTATTGGGTTGTCGGAAAAGTCACGACGTATTTTTTGTATGTTTTTCGTTGCAAAAATGCATCATTACTTTTCCGACAACCCAATATATCTGCTTTCTCTGCTTATTTTTAAAAGATTTTTCTCTTTGTCTTTAATTCTCAGTAGTTTACTCTGATCTGCTTTGGTATGGTTTTCTTTGCTTGAAATCCTGCTTGATATTCACAATGTTTCTTGATTCTGTGAATTGTTGTCATTAGTTTTAAAAAAATCACAGCCATTATCTTTTCAAATATTGTGTCTTTTCTGTTTTTCCTCTCCTCTTCTTCTGATAGTTCAATTACATGTGTTTTAGAATATTTTACCACATACCACATGTGCTTCATTCTCTTTTCTGAACTCATATCCTTTAATCTTCCATGTTTTATTTTGCATAGGTTTTTACTTATTAAGTTCACCAATTGTTTCTTAAGTTGTATCTAATCTGTTATTAAACCTATCCATTTGATCATAATTTTAATTTGTGTTTTTCCACCCAAATTTAAAAATTCTGTTTTATTCTTCTTTGGAGTTGTCAGTTCTCTGCTGAAATTCCATACCTTGTCATTTAATTTTTTGAAGATATTAAACAGAATTATTCTAAAATCTGTCTTTAAACTTCAATATCTGATCTTCTGCTTGCTTCATTATTTCTGTCCTTCTCTCTTAGTTTTTAGGATAATTCTTTTTATGTGCCTCTTGAAATTCAGTGCCAGACATTGTGAATGAAATGTGTGGCTCTGAATGATATTATTTTTTTCCAGAGGCAATTTACATTGCATTTTGAAGCTGTTCTTCAGTCCTTGTAAGGGTAAGTCTGTTTTTCTTTTATCGAAGCTCCTAGGATTTGTAGCCTTTTAGGGTCTCAAATGAAAGTCTAGAGTATTTATCAGATCCTCTTCCTTAACAGATGCTAAGCACACATTTTTTGGTCTCTCCAGCCCCAGGAGATGGCTGAAACTCTTCTTACTTTCTCACCCTTTCAACCATTGCTTTAGATTCATCAAATGCCTCGTCCTGAGACAGAAAAGGTGGTAAAAAAAAAACATGTTGACACCTTTGAATGAAATGTTGGACGAACAAAATAAACAGCCTTCAAATTCCTCTTGTACTTGACATCGACAACATCGTAGAGCTTCTTCAGGAAGTCTGAGTTCAGATGATTGTACTTGCTAGTCAGGGTGTGAAAATATACTAATACATATTCCTTCACAGCAATGTGATCCATCACATGGATAAAATATAAGCGCGCCTTGTCCATATCTGTTAATGTTACAGGAATGTTTCTTCCAACCACCACCATCACTGTGCGACCGCAGTTATCGACACCTGTTTGCTATAAGGCTTTGAGAGAAGTGATATCAGATAGATCCTCAGATCTTGCTTGACATAACCAGTGATTGTAATTTCTCTGATGCTGCTTCTGCAGGGCTGCCTCTGATAACTGGTCCTGAAGGATCAGTCTTCCCTGCTTATCAATATCTCCTTCCATTCGAGCAAAAGCATGAGAGCCAATGAAAGAGAGATCAACTCCCAAGCCTTCGTCCTCCTCTTCTGGGCTGTCCTCTGGGGCACCAGGTTTCTCACTTATTCGAATCTGCCATTCAGGGACCACAGGCTCCCCCTCCGCATTTCCGATAT